TACCCCTGTCCTTGACATGATCACCCATCCATCTGAAGTTTATATTCAATATGAATAGAAATTAATATGAACATGAGTCATGAGAATTTATGACTATACATTCATTATCATTCATAATCCCTTCACTTTGTAATATTGGTGTTCAATTTAGTATTACAATTATACATATTACCACATTCTCATATATTTTGGAATATAATCTATCAACCATCTAATTGCAAATAACTTTTGAAATTCTGATCCCAGTGATTCGATGTTACTCTTCTTAAAAAAACCACTAATGTTGTCAATAACAATCATTCTGTCATTATAATGGATATATAACTGTAGAATCTGACGATGAAATTATCGAAAAGAATATTCTTTGTTCAATAATTAATCTTTTGAAATTTTGAATGGACACCTTTAATCAATTCTTATTAAAACCTAAATACATAGGCCTCTACGAAAAGTCATATTTATCGCACATCTCTATTATTATCACAATAAATAAAGTGCTTGTTAATTCGTGGATGATCTGGCAATAAGTAATATCATTTATTGAACAAACTAGTCCCATTAGTGAAATACTGCAGCGCCTTAGTTTGCATTAAGGAATAATTATAACTAAAGAATCAGTAAATTCAACAATTACATATGTAGATCTCAACATTTAACTGGGGAGAGCTACAGGAGGTAAAGACAGTATTAGAAGAGGAAAATCATATAGAACAAATAAGAACCGTATTAAATCAGGTCTTACACGTCTAATGTCATTCCTTACCTTATACCCTCAAATATTACAAAAAAACGTTTCAACGATATTACTATTTGGATAGGTTGACACACTATAGTCTAAATATTATAATGGTCTGAACATTTCATACATAATTACTTGCTCTTCAGGTAGAAAGGTTTTACTTCAAAGTTTCAAGACATTCAGATACTAGTCGGTTTTCAGGTCAGATTTTACAACAACCTGTAAGGCGTCTTATCTACACTTCTTATCAATAAGAATAACTGGTTATAAAAATCGTATTTTTTATAGAGAAATGATTGTCATTCATATCTTAAGTAAGATTCAAAAAATCACTTCAAGACAGTTTCATCTGGTAACTCAAAATATTTAAATAACAACACGTGAGCCACTTAACACTGCAATCGATACCAAGAAAGCATTCACAATATGTACCACAACACATACTGTTGTTTGTTATAAACAGCTAGCGACTATTTACGTCAACCTCTTCATGCCTGCTTTGCACACTGAAGTAGCCGTGATACCGGATGGTAGTTTTGTTTGTTCGAAGTTAAGCTCATCGGTAATGTGACTATTTTTCTAAAATCCTGTGCAACCTTTATGTTGTATCAGTCAATTCTATTACACAACAATTACAAAAAATTCTTGCTGTTTCCTCATTGTTGTATTGAAATTTAGAAAACTGAACCAACTATTGAAAAATGAAGTAGGAAAGAATCATTTTAACAGAAGGTACAAAATTTACTAACACAATACACATGTGTTATACAGCCGTATGTGGGAGCATATAGACGAGTCATCTACTTAGTGTTATCATACAACATTTGCATTTTTATGGCATAAACATGCATTTTACGCAATTAGACAAGCAAAAAAGTTTAACTCCATTATGGATAAGATTTTATTTTGATAAACTCTCACAGTGTTATACAGTAATATTAACTGATGACGTTTGTTTGTGCTCGAAACCTCATCAGTTAATATTACTGTATAACACTGTGAGAGTTTATCCAAATAAAATCTTATCCATAATAGAGTTATACTCTACCACAGTGCCTAAGTTTTATACTGATATCAATAAGCGAAAAGTTTGGTAGATGAAGTTGAATTCAATGAAAAATAACTTCGAATTAACACAACTAACAATTGCGTAGTTGATGAATTCAGACAAACTTCTGAATTTCGGTTACAATTAATAAATGTAACGATTACTGTTGTGAACATAACTTTATTATTATTATTATTGGTGGGAGTAGTGAGAGTAATAATAATAATAATAGTAAACTATATTTTACCGACAAGATGGCGAACAATAAATCAAATAAAATCAGTTCACCTGCTGCTGTGGAGTCAGGTACATCGATCGTTCGACGCGCATCCTGTCCAAGAGGATTCACGAACATTATTCAGCATGGTTGTGAAGAGACAATAGTGGTGCTATAGGGAGTGCAATAATCGAACACCTTGTCAACACTAACCATTCCATCTCAACAAACGCCTCCTTCAGAGAAATCTCTATAGTCAAGAATAACCTACCAAAGACAATACGGTTTCGTCTTCTTTGTATTACTGAAGCTCTGGCCGTTCACATAGAAAAACCGGAGCTGTGCATACAAAAGAGAATTACTCAACCACTTCTATTATCGTGGTAACAACTTTGTTGACTTTTGATGACTTAATTTTGTTTGTTTGCCTGTTTCTTTAATTGCCTGTAATTTTTGTATTCATTTAGAACTCTTATGTAATTTCGTATTCTCTACTTTGTTCCTATATGTATTCTGAGTACAACTCAATCATCAAACTATTCATATCACGTGTAACTCTTTTTTAACAGCTGTTTGTGACAACTCATCACCTTTGTTACTACACTAGTTTCATTAGCACCCAATAATCTTCACCGCTTTTGTATTACGTAACTCTACCCAAAACTTAATAATTTTCATCTGTTTAGTTAAAATAACCACACCTAGTTGTATTTTTCTTTGAAAAACTTAATGTACATATACATACAAAATAACCCATATGTATTTGTGATTGTACAGCTAGGAAAATGAATTCGCTGAAAAGAGACTCTTCGCTGATTTATGTTTTTTTTTTCACGAATAAAACAACAGAAAAAAGGAAAAAATAGATCAATGTAGATTCACCACATGTCAGAGGAGAGTAAAAAGACCAACACAGAAAAAGTATCAAACAACTAGTCAGTAACCCTACTATGTACCTATTTATTATGGTAATTAGCGCACAGTAGTATTCATACATCAAGTGTCTCTTACGTATAAAAATGTCAGTCTATCTCTTCCTTGGTCACAACCAAAATTTGTCGTATAAGTAGATGGCACCACAAATTAACATAATTCAGTATTATGGTGTTTCTTGAGGGAAAATTATCAGCAGGTAATGCCACACCAAAGTGAAATATCTCCATAATGGTCTGTAAGATGAGGTGGACCGAAATGCTGATCAGTCAATCAATAATCATTGATATAAGGAGGACACAATGACAATAGCAAAGACATTAAATAGTATTATAACAGCAGAAGATGAGAGAATTGGTAGCGGACCTTATTACGGTAAACAAATCATATTTATACATTCTTCGTCATAACAAAGTTCGGCTTGTTCAGAGGATAATAAATTGCTCTAATTAATTGGCAGTTGGTTCAGGTTAAATGAAGAGTTCCAATGCGGTCGTTCCATGTCCAGAACCTAGTTCCGCAGCCATTGACTGAAAATGTGGATTTCAGCTTTGACCGCTTCCTGTAAATCTGCATCACGCCACAGTATCATCATTAAGATCGAATGATGAGAAACAACTATGCTACATAAATGATGTCAGTAGTACTCAGAAATAATCAAAGTATTGCTAAGCTCATTACTATAGAAACCAGTAAATTTTGAGCTTTAAAGATCAACTGATAAATGCCTTTTAGGTTTATTGAAGAATAGTTCCCTGTGTGAATAATGCGGAGCTATGGGTCTGAAACCTATCGTAATCTAAGTTTTGGTTTCAAATTCAACTTTTGCCTCGTTACATTGCATCAGGCTTTTGAGCTGAGACTGTTTCAATTCGACTAAAATAATTAACACTGTGGGCGATTCTTCAGGAAAAAAAGTGAAAATCGTCTGAACATCATTGTTTGCGCATTCTAAATATGATTCACTGCATATTGTAAGGGAAGAATAAAACATCATAGACATATGTGGAATAAAACATGCTCGTCAGTTTCATAAGTTTTTTTTTTTTTCCTTCACGTTCCCCAGTGGAACATAGGGCTTCAAGCTAATGGCTTGAAGTTTCTGTAGCAGTGTTTATTTTACAGGATGAAGTTGCTAGCCTCATGCCCAACCTTTCCTCTTCACCACTATTGTTTCTGGCTCAACGAGGTAAAGGAGTGCGTCGGCCGGGGATCGAACCCCGGACCATGTGCATGGTCGGCGAGCGTCTAAACCGCTATACCACCGACGCACACGTTTCACAAGTTGCCTTCTCTTAATGTTTTGGGATTCGCCAGTGAAAGAAATTAGAGTCACTGTTGCCTGATGACACAAAGTTTTGAACTAAGCACTTACAACAAATATGACTGTCATAGTTGAATGGTGCTACACATCGCAATGGCACCAAAAAATTAACAAAAAACCAAATATGACCAGTTTGGTCGGAAAATTAATTAGTTTTGAAGTCACCCAAGTATGTTTGAATAGATTGGCAAGTTACTAATGCATTTGTACGACGAGCATTAAGCATTACTTTCAGGAAGTTATTATAAGTTTGACTTTATTACTCTACAAGCTTGGTTTTCACGAAACCAACAATCATTCTTACTTGAGGCCATACCTTCAGAATTTTTTTTTCATAGTTTCAACGACATTAATTAATCGGTACTCAACTTTTTCGACATCTTGAAGGACTTTGTACATCACGTCTTGGAGAATTTATCTTCTGATTACAGCCCAGTATATTTTACTTTGAATCTACAGCTAATATAAGATGGCTTGTAATACTACAAATTGTCTAAGCCCAGTTGGTTACAATAGGCTTCGATTCTTTTCACAGTGTATGAGAGTCAAAAGAGAGAACCACCAAACACAGCACAAGAAAACAAATTCTCCGAAGACTGACTAGCTATCAAATATCGAATTCACACGCAACATATGGAATTTTCAATTATATATATGATGTGTTACAGGAAACTCAAGTAAATATATATTGAAACTTGCCTACAAGTAGAAATATAGAGTGAAAACGACAAAGACTCACATTTGCGTGTAATCATTCCATTCGACCGAAAGTCAACAACAGCGACTCTCCACCTCTGTGTTGCTGTACCGTAACCATAAACAGCAGCAGCCATGGCTCTACCACCAGGTTCAGTGACTAACCCGGTGAACACAACAATTTCGTCAGTTTTTTGTGTTGATGTAGACCATTTATCGTCATCATCATTTTGCTGGTTATGACTTTCGTATAACTGATTACGATTTGTTACTGGTTTAGTGCTTGAAGGAGTAGTAATGTTTTTGTTGTTATTAACAGTGGTAGGAATAGAATAAGCAGGATCATTAGAACTGGTGGTTTTAGCAAGAAATTCCATCTTACTAGATGTAGTGTTGCTGTCAAGAAGAATCTGATGAGCTTCTGAAAGTGGAAGATCTGTTACTTCCACGTTAGCTACTTTTACTTTATCTCCTGTATCGTCATCATCGTCAACACTGTCATCATTATGATTTTGAATTTTTCCCTTAATACTGTCATCATTATCACTATTGATGTGATATCTGCTTGATTCACTGATGCCCCATTGACCAGTGCGCAGTGGGATAGTATGCCAACATCTTCCCTCATCAGTACTAAAACGTAGTACATCAGGCCATAAAGTTTCAGCAGGAACAGCTACAATTAGGCCTCCCCGATTAGCTATTTGATAATGATGCGGTCCATCGAGAGCCTAAGAGTAAAAAGGGAGAAAAATTTGAGTTCATGAAAAGAAATTAACAATTTACAGACTTAATTAGTAACGGATTAACAGTAGACACGAATGTATAGACACTAGTCAACCAAGTAAGCGTTGTGAAATAAAGGAAAATGCTCAAAGAACAAAAAAAGCGAAGATGAAACAGGCAATAGTTATCCAATAAAATGACAACACTGTAGGGTATCAGTCTACTGGTTAAAAGAGTGGAGTTAATAACAATCCGTGTATCCAAACTATTTTAGGTGAAACGATGCTAAAATGGTGTCGATAATTAATAACCCTAACCAAACAAGTCTTCCACTAGGTCTCACCTCGCTACATAAGTATGAAATAATTATCTGTGATAATTATTTCTGTGCATTATACAGTACAGGGTTAAAAAGGATTTGATATAAGTTATTTGTATTGGACTGCATGAGATTACAGATACAAACTGTAAACAAACATTTGTATACCTCTCAGTTATTCAGATAGCTTAAGTAAACATGCCGTCTGACAATGTACACAAACTGGTGACTTTGATCTAGTCTGTCTCGAGAATGTGTGACACTTACGTATGTGTCGTAGAAATTAATTATACTGCTCACATAAGAACAAATAAATACATATACACAAACAAGAATAAAGTCTGGCGGGTAGCGAACCACCTAAGAACTTATCACCCAACAAATGTGCAGAAGAAAATGTATGGTTTTACTTTAAGTTGCCTTATCAACAGACAAAAACGGTTGTACTCAGTATTTAAACACAGATACGTTAAGCTAAAAGATGAGGTGTTCCTTGTCTTCATTTCGGATCTAGGGGTGGATGTGAACCACTAGGAAATCCCAAATTACAAAAAATTCCCAGTCGAATTCCCCAGTCTTATTAACCATCTTAGATTTAATTAAGATAAGCCCAGTAGTTCAGCAAAGAGTCTCCTTTCGGCGAATTCATTTCCACGGCTGTACAATCGCAAATATATATGGTTATTTTGTATGTGTGTGTACATTAACTTTGTCAAACAAAATACAATTATGAAGTTTTTGGTGGAGTTAAGTAATATAAAGGCGTTCACAGGAATTGGATGTTGCTATAGGAGGGTGGAAACAAAAGTGATGAGTTGTCACAAACGATTGTTAAAGAAAAGTTACTTAAGAACATGAATAGTTTGATGAAATAGTTGTGCTCAGGGTTAACATGGAAACGAAGTAAAATACGGAATTACTTAAGAGTTTTAAAGGAAAACAAGAGTTTTAAGTACTTAGAAAAACAAGCAAACAAGCAAAAGTTAAATCAAATCAACAGAGTTGTTACATTGATAGTGGAAGTGGATCAATAATTTTCTTTTGTATACATGGTTCTGGTTCTTCTAATTGAATGACTAAGGCTTCTGTAAAGCAAAGAAGACGGAGACGTGTTGTCTTTGATAGGTTGTTCTTCACTTTGTAGATTACTTTGAAGGAGGCATTTGTTGAGATGGAATGACCAGTGGTGACGAGATGTTCGATTATTGCACTCCTAATACAGCCACTACTTCCTTTCTGCAGCCACACTGGATAGTGTTCTTTGATCCTTTTGACAGGATGCGCATCGTATTTTTCCTTTTTCAAAGTTAATTTACGCACACACACAAAATAACCATATATATTTGCGATTGTAAAACTGTGAAATGAACTCACCAAAAAGACACTCTTCGAGGGAACTACTGGTCCTCTCTATCAATTTTCGAATGGGGACTTTTCATGAATTAAATTTAATTATTTTACACAAATGTTTATAACACACTTACTTTAAGCCATGTGTAACCGCCATCTGAACTGACGAATACATCAGCGGGTGTATTTTTTAAGTGTGTAGCCACATGTCCATGAGCTAATATCAATCCTGGTGCTGCTGCTATTGACAATGGCGGTGAAGCGATGACACGATTTTTAATGCTGAATTGATTACTGATTTGTAAACCACAAGTCTTTAAGGTTAAGAAGAAAGTGAGAAACAAAAACAGAAGATATTGGTTTAGATTGTAGTCAGAGGTATCTGAAGATGAAATAATTAAGGGGCAGAAGTAAACGCACAGGATAATTAATCAAAGCATTTTGAAATAAATTTAAACAATAAACTGTAAAGATAAATAATATCCACTGCTTTACCGGTCACTTGCGGGTAATTAGAAACTACTACGATAACAGGATGAAATCTTCAACCTATAAAATAAGAATTTCAGAGTCGCTAATGAGTTAGGCCAGAAGACATAATCCTCATAATGTTATATTCAATTGAAATCATGTGCTAATTACACAGATACCAACCGTAGTGTACTGGAGATTTAATTATGTCTTAATATGATCTAATTTTAAAATCACAACGTCTTTCTTTAGGAGTCTACTTTTCGAATAAGAACTGATGACATATCTTTTATATTTCTTTCTCTAGTCTTTTTGACTGATAATTCCATATTTTTAAAGCGAACTATAGTAGACTGAAACGGTATATAGATATATCAATTTCTATATCTATTGCACAACAACACATGAAAGCAACAACAAAAACCAAATCAACAGTAAAGATAGAGAATGCATCTGGAGGATGTTGAACAATGATGCGTACATTATATATCAACGACAATAAGAACTGAAGAATATTCAAAACACATCATACTATTGGTACATCCTCGATTCTTAACCTATTCTGTCGTTAATATTTTTTTTCTTAAAGAAATCGATAACTTTCTGTGTTCGTGGTAGGCACAAAAGGCTTTTTTGAAACCTAAAAGATGAGAAAAGCTCATTATCCGATCAACACATTTAACCACTATCTACTGTGATATTATTCATCAACCTTACATACTGTTGAAAAACCGTATTTTAATCATAAAGAAATCATTTCTGTCAGTTGGCAAAGGCTAGTGTGTTTTTATGTTGAAATAAATCTCGCAAATAACTTCGAAAATATGTATGCATGTCGACTATTTTTCTCTCGCTCAAAAATACCCGTCAATCAGTTTTTGAAATACAATGGAATCATATGCTAAAAATGTTGATATCTACCAATTTGAAGAATAGTCCCTGGCGTCGACGGTTGAAGTATTTGGGTATAATTCTACCCTATACTAGTGTAAACAATGGCAGAGTTATAGCATTGAAATCTTTTGAGCCTCTGTGGCGAATGATAACCAGCATATATTATCAACAGTTGCATCATTTATAACCTCAGAATGAATACTCTTCAATTCAAAAATTCACTTTATAAATTATATATATATATATATTCAAGTATGATTGAAAATCAATAAAGATGAAACTAATGAACGCTAGCCATTTGAATTCAACTGTAAATTATCTAAGCGAATAATAAGAAGAATTAGTAGTCTCTTCATTTGATTTAGGAGACTGGAATTAGCGAATATCTTCACTGATTGCCAGAACTAAGATCAGCTCTAGCCATCTAAAGTGACAATCTAACGGAATGTTTTACATATGAATAGTCTCATACAGGATGACGTTATGTTTAACAAATGCAACGAATTATACTAGCCAATAAATGGGTAAACTAAACAATGATGAAGGTTTATCCTCAAGACATTTATTTAAAAAATAAAATTAAACATTTATTTAACTTTAAACAATTAGTTCCTTATATGAATTTCCACAAAGTGGAAAGAAGACGTAATTTATCTGAATAGTGAAATATAATTGTGCAACACATTTCGAATAATCTTATCACACACGTACTTGTCATAAGAATATATATGAAAATAATAAAGAATAGATATGAGTAAGGTTAAAAGGTTATATTGAAGATTAATATAATGATAATGGGGATCAATAAACCAAAGATGGGAGGTAATGGTGTGGTGGTGTGATAGGGACAATGTGTTCCAACGGAATATTATTCGCACATATTCGCACAGTTCAATACGGCATTAGCAACAGCATACTATTTATTTGAACATTTTATTTCATTTCGTTTAATGTAAACCAAAATCACACGCTATGTATATACATATATATACCTTTCCTACCGTGTCTTTCCTTCTGCTGTTACAAGAGTACATCTACCCTGGTATCGACACAAAGTTTACCACGAAAGGTTTAGTGTGATGACGAATTGTTTTTGATGAAAATATAGAAGTGGTTTAAACATCCTAATTTCTAGAGCTTGTACCAACTTTAGGATACGCAACAAACACGTTTTATAGATAGGTATAAAAGAAGCGCATTCATCAGTTTTATGTACTGTCTCTATAATATGTTTTTTCCGTATTGCTATTCTTTTTGCCTTATATTTCTGTTTATTAACTGTCTTTCGAACCCTTCTTTACTCTCTTTTCTTGTTTTGTATACTACATGAGGTGTGGAAACTCGAACTGTTGCATATCTGCGCAAAGTTCTATGTTGAAAACAGTCAGTCAGTCAGTCAATACGTTCCACAGTAGAAGAGCAAAGTCGTCTATTCTCACCATTAATGCGTTCATAGGTTCCATTTGCCTCTAAAGCCACTTAGAGATATGCTCTGAAGTGCTTTCTTGCAAAGATCGATGAGCCCTCTCTACGTATGTGTGGCCACACGTACATTTAAATTAGTAGGTACAGTGAGATGTGACATCATTTTCCGTATATTCTACGGGCTTAGATGGATATATAGTCTTCACACTGACAATAAGATACACAACATAACGATTACATGGGTCACTAACATATTTGATGAAACAAAAAATGTGTTTAAAACAATAAATAAGATTTTTAGCCCAGAATGAGGATGCATATCGTGTTGATGTTCTCTGTACTTTAGTATGTGATCGTAGAATAATTCCTGAACTTGGTAACATCAGCATTTCACCGCGTAATGTTAGAAGTGTTGAAGATGCCAAAAAGTTTTCTGAGAAAAAACGTGTACTACTGAATATTCGATCTAACAGAATATAATACACTTCCAAAAATAAGATGTGTTCGATTTACCGGCTGATAATCTATGACAGATAGACAGGCTATTCGGATAAATTACAATATATTGGTTGAAACTCTTTTTTCAGTTTCAGTCTCGTATGTCTGCAAAGTTTAGTAAAGTACCTAATACTATCAAGTGATTATTCTCATACTACAAATAATAATAGCTTTATTCCAAGTAGTACTTTTGGTAGAAATATGTAATTTTCAGCATGTAGTACAGTATTACATCTCATTTTCTCACTTTAGGGACCATAATTAAAATAGGGCATTTACATTAACAATATTGTTCAATAAGAAACAAAAATTAAATTCAATGAAAACATTAACAATAAAGTAACAAGAAAAAAAATGTAGCTGTTTAGTTAGACTTCCTCAGTAAGTTGGTAATTTCCTGTCTTACACTTTTCTCATCACTTAAAACGAGTGCTGAATAAGGTATCATAGAGCTTTTATACTAAGTCGTCCGAACATACAGTCTTCTATAGTTGCTTCTACTACTTCCCGATGAAATGCAAAGAAAGAGTTGTGAATACAGAGGATGTTCAGAGCCTGACAAGATAATATTTGCTAAATTCTTGCAAGAACCCATCTACAACAGTATTTAAGAATTATTTTAGCAACACCTCATTCACCCTACTGACAGGCTTTTATTGCCCTACACAGTAAAATAAAGTCTTTCTTAAGTAGCCCGGTAAAGATTAAGGGGGAACAGTAATGAAGTATAGGCAGAATACAAGAATTAACAAACGGTAATAGTAAAATGGAATAATACCAGATCGTCTTAACTCCCTTACATAGAACGTCAAACGAAATATCTTTCTGGAAACTAATATGATGTGGAAAGACCAGGAAAGATCAGGGGAAATGCACAATTCACGGTATTTAAAGTTCGATTTGGTTTCAGCTTCAGTGCCATATGTGATATTGGAACCATGCGAAATAACCATTTCACTTAAGAACGCACCTGCATCTGAAAGTGAAATTAACCATCTGACATTTGGAGAGATTGAGCTTAAGACCATTTGACAAGGACCACTGATTAATTTCTGATGAAAAGTTATTTATTTTGAAACTGACTGAGAAGTAACCGCCGGTAAAGAAACAGTCAGATCATCGGCATACTTAACTAAATTGGCTTCATCTTAATGAAATAAGTCATGAAAGAAGAAAGAAGACAGAAAAGGAGAAAGAACATCTCCTTGAGGAACACCAATTAAAGTAAAATAGTGGAGGACTTCCCACCATAAACAGTGTACTGCCTCCTATCAGAAAAATAGGAATGCAACCATTTATTAGTCGAGCACGGTGCTTCTGTCGCAGCAACCTTGTTTAACAAAACAGCCTAAAGTGCAGGGTCGAAGGCAGATGTGTAGTCTAAAAAGGTACACTGAACATACTTGGCACCTCTGTCTAAACTAGAGGCAATATTTTGATATAAGACGACAGTGGCACCTAAAGAACAACTATTATTTTTATAAGCAAATTGATTAGAAGCCTTCAACGAAGGTTCAAGCCTAAGTAAAAGCAGTCTTTCTATTATTTTGAAAAAAAGGTGAAGCTATGGCAAACAGTCTAAAATTAACACTTGGTCAACTTGATAACTTAGGCACAGAAACAGTTTTAATGTCCTTCCAAGAAGTAGACACAATGTTCCTGGAAAACGATTCACTGCAAATACCAGTTAGAGGATAACATGAAATGTCAGCATATCTATTGAAGATAATGGCTAATACACCAACTGGACCAAGGGACTAGGTAGGTTTCAGTTTCAGTGAACAAAGATACATATTAACTTCTTTTTTTGAACATTATCATAAAATAGAACAAAACAGACAATGGAAGGTCATGTAAACTTTAGCAAAATTTATTATTGTTTATTTACTGAATTGGGAGAATAATAAAAATCATTGTGGTGATTTTAACTGTGTGATGAAGATAATCAACAGACAGGAAAGTTTTCTTTAATACATCATTGTTTCATCTTATCTCTTATTCTTTTAACTATCTGATATTCTTTTTC